GGGGACTGCATTGAATCTGTAGATTGCTTTAGGTAGGATGACCATTTTGACAATATTAATTCTTCCTATCCATGAGCATGGATGTATTTCCATTTATTGGTATCTTCTTTAATTTCTCTCATGAGTGTCTTGTAGTTTTCAGGGTATAGGTCTTTCACTTCCTTTGTTAGGTTTATTTTTAGGTATTTTTTTAATGCAATTGTGAATGGAATTGTTTTCCTGATTTCTCTTTCTGCTAGTTCATCATTAGTGTATAGGAATGCAACAGATTTCTGTGCATTAACCTTGTATCCTGCAACTTTGCTGAATTCAGATATTAGATCTAGCAGCTTTGGAGTGGATTCTTTAGGGTTTTTATGTACAATATCATTTTATCTGCAAACAGTGACAATTTAACTTCTTCTTTACCAATCTGGATGCCTTTTATTTCTTTGCATTGTCTGATTGCTGTGGCTAGGACCTTCAGTACTATGTGGAATAAAAGTGGGGAGAGTGGGCATTCTTATCTTGTTTCTGATCTTAAAGGAAAAGCTTTCAGCTTCTTGCCATTAAGTATAATGTTGGCTTTGGGTTTGTCATATGTGGCCTTTCCTTATGTTGAGGTTCTTGCCCTCTATACCCATTTTGTTGAGCGTTTTTATCATGAATGGATCTTGAATTTTGTCGAATGCTTTTTCAGCATCTATGGAAATGATCATGTGGTTTTTGTCCTTCTTTTTGTTGATGTGGTAGATGATGTTGATGGATTTTCGAATATTGTACCATCCTTGCATCCCTGGAATAAATCCTACTTATCATGATTCTTTTTTATGTATTTTTGAATTCAGTTTACTAATATTTTTTGAGTATTTTTGCATCTATGTTCATCTGGGATATTGGTCTATAATTTTCTTTTTTTGTGGTGTCTTTGACTGGTTTTGGTATTAGAGTGAGATGGAATGAGTTTGGAAGTATTCCCTCCTCTTCTACTGTTTGGAAAACTTTAAGGAGGATGGGTATTAGGTCTTCACTAAATGTTTGATAACATTCAGCAGTGAAGCCATCTGGTTCAGGGGGTTTTTTCATAGGTAGTTTTTTGATTACCAATTCAATTTCATTGCTGGTGATAGGTCTGTTTAGACTTTCTGTTTCTTCCTGGATCAGTCTTGGAAGGGTGCATTTTTATAGAAAGTCCATTTCTTCTAGGTTATCCAGTTTGTTAGTATATAATTTTTCTAGTATTCTCTCATAATTCTTTGTATTTCTGTGGTGTCCATAGTGATTTTTTTCCTTTCTCACTTCTGATTCTCTTTGTGTCTGTAGACTCTCTTTTTTTCTTGATAAGTCTGGCTAGGGCTTTATCTATTTTGTTTATTTTCAGAAAAAAACAGCTGCTGCTTTCATTGGTTCTTTCAATTGTTTTATTCTTCTCAATTTTATTTATTTATGCTCTAATCTTCATTATGTCCCTCCTTCTACTGACTTTGGGCCTCATTTGCTCTTCTTTTTCTAGTTTCATTAATTGTGAGTTTAGACTGTTAATATGGGATTGTTCTTATTTCCTGAGGTAGGCCTATATTGCAATATACTTCCCTGTTAGCATGGCCTTCGCTGCTTCCTGCAGATTTTGCGGTGTTGAATTATTGCTGTCATTTGTCTCCATATATTGTTTGATCTCTGTTTTTATTTGGTCATTGATCCATTGGTTATTTAGGAGCATATCATTAAGCCTCCATGTGTTTGTGGGCTTTTTCATTTTCTTTGTGTAATTTATTTCTAGTTTCATACCTTTGTGGTCTGAGAAGCTGGTTGGTACAATTTCAGTCTTTTTGAATATACTGAGGCTCTTTTTGTGGCCTAGTATATGATCTAGTCTTGAAAATGTTCCATGTACACTTCAGAAGAATGTGTATCCTCTTGCTTTTGGGTGGAGTGTTCTGCATATTTCTGTCAGGTCCATCTGTTCTAGTGTGTTGTTGACGCCTCTGTCTCCTTACTTATTTTCTGTCTGATCTGTCCTTTGGAGTGAGTGGAGTGTTGAAGTCTCCTAAAATGAATGCATTGCATTCTATTTCCCCTTTTAATTCTGTTAGTATTTGTTTCACATATGTAGGTGATCCTGTGTTCGGTGCATAGATATTTATAATGGTTATATTCTCTTGTTGGACTGCCCCCGTTATCATTATCTAATGTCCTTCTTTGTTCCTTGTGACTTTCTTTGTTTTGAAGTCTATTTTGTCTGACAAGTAATGCCTGCCTTTTTCTTCCTATTATTTGCATGAAATATCTTTTTCCATCCCTTCACTTTAGTCTGTGTATGTCTTTGGGTTTGAAATGAGTCTCTTGTGCATATAGATGGATCTTGTTTTTTTACCCATTCAGTGACTCTATGTCTTTTGATTGATGCACTCAGACCATTTAGATTTAGGGTGATTATCGATAGGTATGTACTTATTGCCACTGCAGCCTTTAAATTCATGGTTACCAAAGGTTCAAGTGTAACATCCTTACTATCTAACAGTCTAACTTAACTAACTTAGTGTGCTATTACAAACACAATCTAAAGGTTCTTTTTTTATCCCTCCTTTTTCTTCCTCCTCCATTCTTTATATATTAGGTATCATATTCTGTACTCTTCGTCTATCCCTTGACTGATTTTGGAGGTAGTTGCTTTAATTTTGCATCTACTCTGTAATGAACTGTTTTACTTTCTTTACTGTCATTTTATTTCCTCTGGTGACAGCTATTTAGCCTTAGGAACACTTCCATCAATTGAAATTTTTCCAAAATACACTGTAGAGATGGCTTGTAGGAGGTACATTCTCTTAGCTTTTGCTTTTCAGAATATTGTTTAATCCCTCCTTCAAATTTAAATGATATTCTTACCAGGTAGAGTATTCTTTGTTTAAGGCCCTTCTTCTTCATTGCATTAAAATTATCATGCCACTCCCTTCTGTCCTGTAAGGTTTCTGTTGAGAAGTTTGATGATAGGCTGATGGGTTTTCCTTTGTATGTGATCTTTTTTCTCTCTCTGGCTGCTTTTAATAGTCTGTCCTTAACCTTGATCTTTGCCATTTTAATTATCTTGTTATCTTCCTTGGGTCCCTTGTGTTGGGAAATCTGTGCACCTCCATGGTCTGAAAGACTATCTTCTTCCCCAGATTGGGGAAGTTTTCAGCAATCACCTCCTCAAAGACACTTTCTATCCCTTTTTCTCTCTTCTTCTTTTGATACCCCTATAATGCAAATATTGTTCCATTTGGATTGGTTGCACAGCTCTCTCAATATTCTTTTATTCCTAGAGATCCTTTTTTCTCTCTGTGCCTCAGCTTCTTTGAATTCCCCTTCTCTAATTTCTATTCTATTTACTCTCTCCTCCACTATATCTAATCTGCTTTTAAATCCCTCCATTGTATGTTTCATTTCTGATACTGTATTCTGTAATGATTGACTCTCCATCCGGAATTCTTCCCTGAGTTTTTGAATATTTTTCTGTACCTCCATGAGCATGTTTATGATTTTTATTTTGAAATCTCTTTCAGGAAGATTGATGAGTTCAGCTTCACTTGACCCTTCTTCTGCTGTTTGTGAAATTTTTGTTTGAACTAGGTTCCATATTTGCATGTGGCATGCTCTAGTGCCCAGAACCTCTACTCTCTGGAGCTGCTCAGCCGCTAGAGCAATGTCAGAGGTCACAGGGGAGCGGTGCTGGTGCCTGGGGGTAGGAAGGAGCTGTTTCGTGCTTCCCAGCTGCTATGCCTGTCCCCACTGCCAGAACCAGTGGGCCAAGCACACATGTGTAAGCCTCTATGCCTTGTGTTTGTAGCTGCCATAGGTGGGGCTTCCCTCTGGTTGGCCAGATGCCAGTGCAGGGGCTGCCGGTTTGCAAGCCATTGCAAGCTGGCTGGGTGGAAGGTGCAGCCAGCTACGTATCATGGTGGCAGGCCTTGGAGTTGCATAGCCAGCCAGGGGGATGGAGTGCCTGAAGCTCCTGAAAGTTTCCAACCTGAGGGGCAGAGTGCACCTGGACAATTTTGTCCACCTTTCCTTTTTCCTGAGCAGTAAGCTCTGTGTAATCCTTGCCCCTTTAGCAGCCCTCTCACTGTTAGGAAGTCTCTCAGACTGCCCACCTTTCTTTTGTCTCAGAGCAGCCAGATGTGGATCCCTGTTTTCCACAAGTGGCTGGATTCTCTGTCTCTCCAGGTATTCTGTCTGTCTTAGCTTTCCAACCCCACTGATCTCCAGAGCACCATGCAATGAATGTTCATGCTCCCAGAGCAGATCTCCAGGGCTAGGTGTTCAGCAGTCCTAGGCCTCCACTCCATTCTTGCTCCATTTCTCTTCCTCCTGCCAGTGAGCTGGGGTGAGGAAAGGGCTTGGGTCCCACCAGATCATGGCTTGGTACATTACCCTGTTCTGTGCTGTGTGTTCTTTTCTCCAGGTGTATGCAATCTGGCACAGCCTTCTTTCCTGCTGCTGTTCAGGAGTAATTGTATTAATTATATTTTCAAACTCTATGTGGTTTTGGGAGGAAGTCTCTGTCTCACCTCTTGTGCCACCATCTTTAATCTCTCTGGTGGCTTTATATACAGCGTGAGCCCAGGTTCAAATCCCTGAGGCAGTGTGACCTAGTTCAAAATGTAAAAATACAGTATATGCAACTTATGAATTGATGTGTCTCCAAGATTCTGAGTATTCTGGTGCCCAAAGCAGAGGAATTACATGTGTAAATGAATCAGGGATGGATTTTTACCTCTGGGAGACAAAATCCTATGGTAGAAAATAAAAATAAACATGAGATTTTATTGTCTGGCACACAGCCCTACTCCTGATTCACTTAAGTATTTATGTTACAGATTTTGGTGGGTGCTGCTCTTTTTCTAAGCAGCGTTATGTAAGTGTTTATGGAAACACAAGTTGAAAACTCCAAATTTTTTCTTGGTTTGATATAGCAAAGGATTTCAGTTCCATTTTACATGTTGATATTACAATTTGTGCTCTCTCTTTTTTTCATCTTCTAGGAATTCCTGACATGGAGAACGTGAGTAGCTTCTCTCTGTGCCTACCTTCTAAAAACTCTCCTAAAGTAAAAAATAATCATGGTAACCCTACCAGCAAAGAGAGCTCTTCATCCACATTCAACAGAGCAAGAAGTATTTTTCTAATCTTTTCTGGTATCTTTGGTGAGTCACTTTGCAATATAAAGGGGAGAAGTTTGAATCCTCCAACATTATCATTACATTTTCTTGATATTAACTAGTCTGAAGAAAGGTTATTCTAGGGGTGAGCAGTACTATTGTTAAGTGTTTGCTTCTTCCCCAATGCACACATGGCAGTAGACCAAATCATTAGTTTATCAGCATATAGGAAATAAGTTGTTTTTCCTTAGTAGGAATACAAAATATGAAATTCAGGGTCAGTTGATTATACAATTGTATCCAAGTGCATTAAAGTAAAAACCTCTCCTTGGAAGCCAAAAATAATTAATTGCTCTAATTGTTCAGGGCAAACAGGTAAGGGAGGGAAGCTTTAAGACAAACCTTTCACCAAGAACCAGTGCCAGGTAAGCATGCTAAGAATGGTAGTGGTGGAGTGGCATTGTCTTTGCATGCAAATAATATTAACTGTATTAACTGGAATCTAAATGTAGATAACAACATGAAGGGGTTAATGGTGGAAGTATGTAGTGGTTAATCTGCAGTGTTCTTGGTGGCTCTCAGAGGCATCACCTTGTCACTGTGTGCCCTAATCACTGTACCCAGGTGACAATGTTACAGAATTGTTAACTTTCATTTCCTTTTCCTGCTTTTGGTTCTGTGTCTGTGAGCAGAGACACCGTCTTAATTATATTCAGATGATTTCTTATCCCTTTTCAGAGAGCTTACTCTACCTTTCTTCAGGTCTTCCTCTTCCTAAAGGGCTGGTTGGGAATTCTTGCCCACTGCTGTACCACTTCGGATTTGGGTTCAAGACTTAGCAATGTCACTTGAAATACCACACCAAAATTCACTTGGTTGGTTGAGCAAGGGATTTTAGTTCCTAGCTGTGGGACTTTGCATGAACTACTTGACTTCTCTAAACTTCCTTGCCTCATCTTTAAAATGTGACCACCTCAAAAGGCCATTATAAATATTGAACAAAGTGATCTGAGGAAAGACCCCAGTACAATAGAGCTCAGTAAATGTTAGACTATTATTGTGATTACTGTTTTCTCAAGCCTTATATCATTTTCTAGCTATCTTTTGTTCTCTGAAAAATGTCCTACCCTTTATAAAGTAACTGTCTCTTTCCTCTTACGACTCTCCTTAAATGCCTTTCTTTAACAAACCTTTCCATAGAGCTTTTGCTACCAAAAAAGATCTTTGTTAAATAAAACTCCAGATAGTCAGGTTCATGGAGGTTCTAAAGAAGTAGCCTTTAGAGTCTAAAGTAACAAACTGATCTTGCCACCGTTTTAGATGCAAATGTCCCAAAGCACACTTTAACAAATAATATACAGATCACTAGCCAAGTAAAGAGAATAAAAGGGCCTCATGCTTCCTCATGTGCTTCCCTCAGTGATGTGGGTAGCACACACAGAATGGCCAAACCCTAGGAGGTTGAAGATGTTCTAAGCTTCAAAAGGAAGCTCTGTTTCTCTTGGGCCCCACAATGACCTTTAGGTCGGACCTCCTTGCAGTGGGAGATGCCTTGCAGGCAGAATGTTCTAAGCAGAGAGCCTACCAGCTGTCATCATATGACAAAATAGGAATTCGAAGTTTGCAGGAAGTTAGAGACAATGAGCTGTTATCAGCATGCTGTTCTGAAAGATTTAGTGGGCAGGGCAGGCTGTCTCTCCAATACTGGCTATAATGTATACTTATTTGTATTTGTGTGGGCCATTCTATGTCAAATTCTCTAGCAAACAGAAAAGCACACTTTTTCTCTATCAGCAAATAGAGTTGATGTAATGTCACCATGCATGGTTAGGAAAGCTCTCCAATGCCATCAAAGAAAACCAAATGAGATGAAAGGCATTCATGAATAGAGTTGAAGCTCTAGAAAGATAAAAAGAAGCCTAAGAGCCTTAAAGTGGTGCTAATTAAAATTTTTCCTTTATAAGAGATAAATTGTGTTATGATGATTTCTTTTATCTTCTACCTTCTTTAACTACATGCTGGGCAATATTATATTCCCTTTGTGTTTCTAAATAGCATAATATGCCTGTGAACTGAAATAAAAGCACTTAGACTATTGTTTCAGTGTCCAAACAGATTCTTTGTGGAAAGAATATATTTTTTCCAGCTCCTACTCTTGATTTTGTTAATCACCATGTTTAACTTTTAATCAAATATGCAGATGTCAGTAAGTGGTGTTTTTAGCTGCTTTCCCAGTTATATTTTATTTCTAAACCCAGCCTTACCTTGCATAAAAAGAACTTTCTTTTCATAAACTGCAGTTTTATAGAAACAAATGGGCTGGTAATTAATGTGCTAGATTATTTTGTCTACTGCTTAGTGTAATTGTTAGGGACATCATTTAATTTTAGATGACAAAGAATCCTGGAGCCTATAAATTAATTGATAAAGATATTACAAAAATGACCATAGAGTCAAAAACAAGTAGACTATTTTGGTAGGGTTGTGATCGGTTGGGGCTGTTGGTTTTCTTTTTGTTTTTGTTATTGTTTTTATTAAGGTATGATTGATATACACTCTTAGGAAGGTTTCACATGAAAAAACAATGTGGTTACTACAATTACCCATATTATCAAGTCCCCACTCATACCCCAGTGCAGTAACTGTCCATCAGTGCAGCAAGAGGCCAGATCCACTATGTGCCTTCTCTGTGCTACACTGTTCTCCCTGTGATCCCCCACACCATGTGTACTAAACATAATACCCCTCAATCCCCTTCACCCTTCCTCCCCACCCACCCTCCCATACCCCTCCCCTTTGGTAACCACCAGTTCATTCTTGGGAGTCTCTGAGTCTGCTGCCATTTTGTTCCTTCAGTTTTGCTTCATTGTTATACTCCACAAATGAGGGAAATCATTTGGCATTTGTCTTTCTCCCCCTGACTTATTTCACTGAAAATAATATCCTCCAGCTCCATCCATGTTATTGCAAATGGTAGAATTTGTTTCTTTCTCATGGCCGAATAGTATTCCATTGTGTATATGTACCACATCTTCTTTATCCATTCATCTACTGATGGACGCTTAGGTTGCTTCCATTTCTTGGCTATTGTAAAAAGTGCTGCAATAAACATAGGGGTCTATATATCTTTTTGAATCTGAGAAGTTGTACTTTTTGGGTAAATTCTAAGGAGTGGGATTCCCGGGTCAAATGGTATTTCTATTTTTCTTTTTTTGAGGAACCTTCATATTGCTTTCCACAATGGTTGAACTAGCTTACATTCCCACCAGCAGTGTAGGAGGGTTCCCCTTTCTCTGCATCCTTGCCAGCATTAGTTGTTCTTGTTCTTTTCGATGCTGGCCATCCTTACTGGTATGAGGTGATATCTCATTGTGGTTTTAATTTGCATTTCCCTGATGATTAGTGATGTTGAGCATCTTTACATGTATCTGTTGGCCATCTGAATTTCTTCTTTGGAGAACTGTCTCTTCATATCCTCTGCCAGGGCTGTTGGTTTCTTTTAAAGAAATTCTTTGATTTGTTTAGGCTGTATTTTTCCATGTTCCATATGTGCCATAGCTAACTGACCATGTTTAACAGAAGCTAAAAATCACAATTAAAAAAAAGCTTTATCATTGAATGTTATGGTTGCCTTTTGAAGGAATGAATTTGTCTATAATTTTTGTTACTTAAGTAGATTTTGTTGCTAATTGTGATCTATCCTTTATAGTCAATTGCTGTGTAGGTTTATAGTTTTAGAAGTTTACACTTTTATTCCTCACTGTGAAAGGATCCACACAGACTCAGGAAGATATTACAAAACAATCCCATTTCCTTATTTACAAACATCTTGTTTCCAAGAGGATCTTCTGAGGTCCTCATTTTTTTAGACAATTATAGAATTGATAGCATGATTAGCAAGCTTCTTGCTAAATATGGAAGAGTACTTTCCCAATATAAAATTCTGTCATCAGTTCAAAGCTCAAAGGTTTCCCAGGCCCTAGAATTGATGCTACCAATTAGTAATACGCAAGCTTGGGGGTCTTGTAAAACTATTTGGTAGGTCTCATTTTAAGAAGAATACTTTTAAAGCAGGAGCTTCTCAAACATTTAAAAATCAGGGGTCACTTAACATGAAGAACATTTCTTGGAAATTATTATAAAGACATAAGGTTTTAAGTGGCAAATAGAAAAAAATTATTTACACAGTTTGCAAAATTCTCATTAAAAAGAGGGCAATAGAATAATGATAAGCAAGTGACTATTAGGGTGAAAAGGTTAGACATTTTAGGTGTCTTTAGGGAATATAATAACACATCTGTATTGCTGGTCTTTTTCAAAGTTAAAGAAAACAAATTACATTATTTTCCACCTATTAAATGACAACATCTTATTTTACTGTTATAGATTGGCTACAATTCTGGATAAGATAAAGGAAAAGGAAATTTTGTTTCCTTGTACAAACTTAAAATATAAAAAACTTAGGTAACCCCATAAATGCCCTGTAAAACCTTTCAACTCCAGCTTTCAAATATCTACCTTGTACAAACTTAAAATATAAAAAACTTAGGTAACCCCATAAATGCCCTGTAAAACCTTTCAACTCCAGCTTTCAAATATCTACTGAATTCAAACCAATGGCTTTCTGTGAAACAGTGTTTAAAATCATGCTTTAAAGCATGCCTAATACATGTCCAGAGCTTATCAAAACATGCTGGCTATAATTCCCAGGTTACCGCGGGCGGCTGCTTTCTTCTGTGCTACTGTGACCGTAGTTTACCTAAAGCTGCCATCACTCTGAAACACGTACATGTAACTGGCTGAAGGTGTGAAGCTCTGTCTAGGACAGCAAACCGACCAAATGAGAAAACCCTGAGCCCGCTCATTTCGATGTTGGAGGACACATTGCTTATAGCCCAAGTGA